AGGAGGAATGGGTGTTGCCAGGGGCTGGCGGGAATGAGGCTTCCTCATGAGATGTGGGTAACTGCCAGCGCAGAGCTCGGTCGTTGTCCGCTTCGTGTTTCCCCTTTCAGAATGGTCAGAAACAAGGCCGTGCACGGGCGCAGTCATCGGTCAGAAGGGCCCTGAAAATGCCTGGAAGCCACAGTGAAAGTTCGGTGTCGTTAGTGGACATGAGATGCAAGTGGCTCCATGCCCTACCCCTTACCCGCAACGCTAACGGCACAGCCCTCGTCAGCCTCCGGCATCGGCCCCCTGTGCAGCCTGAGGAGAGGTGTGTGGCGATGGACCAGGCCAGACAGATGGATCCTGAGCGAAACAAGGCCAAATGGTTGTTTTTGTTAAAAACTCTCACAAGTCAGGTGCCATAACCCCTTCAGCTGTTTGATTGAATTCACCTGAAGACCGTGTTGTGGACCTGCCAGTGGATGGGGCCCAGTGACACAGAGATCACCTATTTTAAACACCAGACAAACAGAAAAATGCAGAAATTTGGCAGCATGTGTGGCAGCGTTGTCAGAGCTGGCCTCCGCCATCAGCACCATGGGCTTCAGGGTGCTGTCCTGCGTGTTCTGCCCCAAGATCCTGAGCTTACTGTCTCTGTTCCGGTGGGATGGCTACAGGGGCTAGTTTTAAAGTCACATTTTTAAACAGTTTCTAAGGGCTCTTTTATTTAATTCACATTAATCCGTGTCATCTGTTTGCCTGTGGATCCCACTCCAAATTGTACAGCGTGTACCCAAGGAGATAGGTTTGGCTTTTGTTTACACAAGGCCCATGTATAATGCTCCAGCAGGTCCAGACGGTGGCTCTCTTCTGTCAGCAGGGTCTTGGGTGGGTGCTGCCTCACCCAGCCCGCTCTAGGGATGATACACATTGCCCTGGGGAACTGCCCATTGTTCTTCTGTGTCAGTTGATAAGCAGAGCCTGGGGCATTCTGTTAAAGTGTTTTTACATGTGCAATGTGCATTTGCTTACCTGCAAGTGTATGACTGGTTGCACATGCTCTAGGGCTTTTTTTTTTTCTTTTAATAAAATACTTTGTGAGAGCGCTACCAAATATTCTGAGCCCAAACCAGGGCAGTCTGGGGCTAAGCACTAATGATAATTTCTTTTTTCAAGTATCAGATAATAAATTTGGTTGATTTTCCACAACTAACAGAGTAATTTTGTGTGACTTGAGATCTTCTGTACTAAACCAAGCCTTTTTGCTGAAGTGCAGCTGTAGATGATACTTATTTTTGAGACACAAATATTCCAAGGCAGCCTTTACCAGAGATTCAATACAAAAATTGGAAATCAGCTCCATCGGTCATGGCTTGCAGGCATCGGTCCGTTGTCTGGATCATTTGACTTCCAAAATGTGTTTCTTGACAGTCACTAATCACTAATGTGATTATCCCGCTTTTCTATACAACAATAGCAATTCGATTTCAAAGCATGTTTGTAAATACCATGGCCTTTCATGTTTAAATGTATTTCCTTTTGTGCCTGTGTGTGTAGAGCGTTGCGCAGCCGGAACACAGACACATCTTTTCTTCCGAGTAGACTCCGTACGTTCCCAAGCTTTGGTTCTGCTAGCTAAGTCTGTATATGAATTGCTCTGCAGAAATGATGGGAGTTAGAGAACTTTTGGAAGGTTTAAGGTGAGCGAGTCGTATCTGTTCTCGGTTACGTTCTGGAGAAATGTCTGACTCCCTAAAGCGCCTCATTAAAGCCTTGCCTCGAGAGCGTGCATTTCAGCCAGCACTGGGGGAAACCTCCCAGCTCGCTTCCTGCAAACCCACCAGGGTGCAGGAGGTGGTGTTCACACCAACATGAGCCGTGGGTGCAGCCGAATGGACGCTGCCTCCTCGCTCCAGCTGCTTGCCTGGTGCATCGCTAGCTTCTGGGAGGAACCTCTCTGGGAGAACATTGAGGAGGGCAGCCGTGTCCTGGGACACCCAGGGGTGGTGGCCTGGGTGCCGGAGGACGGAAAGCCCTGCAGCCTCGCTGAGAGAGGGCCAGTCGCAGAGCAGCGGTGAGCAGTTTACCCAGCATCGCTCCCCTCAGCGCTGGGTAAGCCAGGTTGGAAAGTAGCAGGAGGCTCATTCAGCAAGACGTGGTTCAGGTCACAAGATTATAAATGAGCAAAAGCGGTGTAAACAACCCTATTCCAACTTGAGCAAGTGTCTCCGTTTTGAACTGCTGAGCTGTCTTAACCTGGGATCCCGCCAACATGTCCTGATGCTCGGGGGTGAGGGTTCATACCGGCTTCTGGGCACAGCCTCGAGCAGGAGGACATGAGAAGGGCTGGGGACTGATGATCCCCGCCTGCGCAGGACAGTGCCGTGCTCAGCAGACCCTCTGAGCTCCTGCGCTGAATCTTTCCCTGTAGCATGAACTGGATTAAAGAGCCTCTGCAGCGACCTTGCCACGGGAACACCACTCTGCAGCAGTCACTGCTTTAATCCTGGCACTCTGCTTCCTACAAAGACCGAATGTGGTGCCGGTGGCTCACCTTGCATTTGCAGCAGCCTTGAGAATGGGATTCTGGCATGCTGGATGGTTCCTACAATTAACAGGGGCTGCATGCCCTGGGATGCTTAAAAACTACTGCAGTACCTGCTCCGTGGTCACCCTTACCTCTTTGGTGGTCCACACAACCGCCCAGCCAGCCAAACGTGGTCGGATGAGGTGTGCGCAGACAGCCGCCCTGTCTGAATTACCCGGGGAATTACCCTGGGCACACGCTGGACATGGGAGGCAAGCGGTGAGAGCGCAGAGACGTTGAGCCTAGTGGGAACCACTGCAATTCCCACTAGGAAAAGGGAAAGCATGGAGTAACTCCGGCCGTTCCCTCCTCCTCCTGCGGCTGCGACAGTGCTAAACCAGTGATATCCCACCCATGACAGGGGGGGCCCTGATGCTTTGATGCTTTTCATAGTAACGAGAGCCGCTCTCTGTCCTGAACAGAGTACAGGGGGGCAAACCTGCAAGGCACTGCCCAAGCCTCGGGTCTGCAGTTACATCTGCAGCCTGTAAAATTTAAGGTCCACTGATCTCCAGCCAGGACTTACTGCTGGGGAAGAGATTCCTTCCCTTTCAGCACCGCTTATTCAGGCTGTGCCTCTGGGTAAAATTTGCCAGCGTTGCTTCAGGATTTAGTGAAACACTCAAGCTCAGTTACCTTAAATTAAACCTCATGCTTACACGTGCTGTTGGATCCAGACCTGATCTGCCTTCTAATTCCTCGCCTCCCATAGATTTCAGTGAAAGATAAGGATATTGAGCACCTCGGAAAATGCAACGTACCTCGAAGGCTTGGTCCCTGCAGACCCGTTGGTCCCTGGTTCAGCTTCATCCTCGTCAGCTGTTCGACTCGGGAGGTGGAGGGTAGCGTTTCTCAGCGATGAAAAACAAGTGGAAGTGAGGCAGAAAAATCTGTGATAAATTAGTGTGGAAAGTGTTAATGGGGCCAAATGTCCTGAGTTTATTGGATTAGGGAAGTCAAACTAATTTTAAAATTATGCCTAGAGAGTGGGAAACTAGGTATCGTTAGCCATTTGTCTGACACAACAGGAAAGTCTTAATGGCTGTCATCTCAGCACATTAGGAAAACACCGTCAAAGCTCTTGCTGACAAGATGCTTTCTCGGGGATTATTAATTATATAGCGTTATTAGCCAGCTCCAGTATGGGAACATATTTCGCATGTTAACTAAAGTGCAACGACCATTTAGCTAATAAGTATGACTCGGTCTTTTAAATTTTCTTAATGATTAGCAACTTAGTAAAACTGTAACGCTGGGAGATAAAAATAATGATCCAGCAAGCTGTGTCTCAAGAACAAGTTTTAACTGGAACTTGCTTGTAGCAAGGACAGATAGAGCATGCCGTCCTAATTACCAGCCTGATGCGACGAGACAAAAGTAAACATATCTGCGGATGTAACCAACTCGTATTGACCCCTTCCTGCATTGTCACACCTGGTAAAAGTGCGGGTGTGATAGTTCAGCCCAGTGTATCAGCTTAATCCTTCCACCGCAGCCCTGCTGAGGACAAGGGGATGCTGCAGCCTTCAGCAGCGCCCAGCCCCGCACCCCCTGTCCC